TTAGGGCTCAGGGCTTAGGGCTTTAGAGCTTGCGGCTGAGTAAGAATTGAGCCGTTGGTGCTCCAAAAAAGTTCTGAAGCCCCCTTCTTAGGGATTATGTCTCTAATATTTGTATATATATATATATACATATATGTACACATCAGAACGTTTTTCGGCTTAAAGCTCTTAGTTACATGAGCGGGTTGGGAGTCTGAGGGTTTGCAGGTCTTAGTACAGAGAAGACAGATCGTTCTAAGTCACCTTCTTTAAGGGCTCCTTCCGTTGATGATATAAATCCTGCACGGCCCATCTCAAAGAATAGACCATAATTCCCATAGTTTAGGGTCCTTAAGAAGGTAATGCAATCATCAACAGTTTTAACGCACTGCGGGATGTAGGGCTGTAGCACTGCCTGCATTTCCTTGAAACGAGCAACGCTGTTTCAGGGTACCCTTTTAAGGGGTGATTCTGAATGAGAACTGAGCATAAGCCCTGAACCTTGAATCCCAAATCGTAAACCTTAAGACTCGAAAGCCCTAATTAGGCCGTGAACCCTAAAACCTTAATCTTTGGTCTTCCCGGTTTTCATGAAGTTCTGAAGTATCATCTCAAATGTATCCTTTTTCAGCACGTTTCGGCGGAAATAGACCGCCGCAAGTAGTATAGAAGAAGTTCTTTCGGGTTCATACTGTAGTAGCTAATTTGCTAATACCACCCTGTAGGGCTCCTGTTCCATCTAGTAGTTACTGGTACTATCCTGCCGCATGCATATGGTACGGTATGCCCTAAACCCGAAACCCTAAACCCTTAGTATGCATGTGGTACATTATGGTCCGACTAATTATGGCTGCGAAGGCTTCACTCTAACAAATGCTTGTCGTAGGCTAAACAGGAGAACGCCGGTTAAGGGTTAGGGTTTAGGTGGGAAAAACCTGCATTGCCAGAGTACCTTTAATCCATGCGAAGTCTACGGAAATCTCCCTTAACTCTACAAAGCCTAAACCCTACAGCCGAACATGGGTATCAGGATTCTGCCGGTAAAACATCCCTAAACCCTAAACGTGCCGATGTGGTGGCACTCGTTTCCAGACCAACCCCGGACCCTTATATACATTGTCACGTGCTACATACATATGCAGATGATATGCATCGATTCGAAACTGAATATTCGCATACATAATATACATATATATATATATATACATATATATGTTGTGTAGATAGCGAGAGAATACAAAGGTAAAGAAGGGGAGCGAGAGAGAGAAGGAGAGAGACAAAGGAGCGTGTGAGTAGTTCTCGCAGCTAGAGCCAGCCCCTCTCAGGACTCTGCTCCTTCCCCCTCATCATTCTTCAATCTTGTTCATACAGGCCTCTTACTACTTTTAACAAGGTTTTGGCGTACTGTTTAAAGTGTTTTTGTTTGGAGCCCTGTGGCATGGTATTACTAGATGTTTCGGCTCCTATATTAGACAATCGCAAGGCCCCAAACCGATAGGCCTTTCAACCGACTCGGGAACAAGCCCACAAGGATGCGGACAATGGAGCTCTTGCGCACATGCACTCTTTCGGATGAAAAACCTATTTACATATATGTATATATATATATATGTATTAATATACATATGCATATAGTTATGGTGGTCCATCGCTGCTGCGGGCTTGTGTTGTTGGATCCTCTATGGAGTTTGCGTACAACTTGTAATTAGGGACCAAATGTTAGCCTTTCTGGCGCCAAGCTTGCAAACCCAGTAATGCCGACACGATGTGTTCGAAACCCTACGCTGCGCCCCAAACCTCTTTCAATGCTCCGTGCCGAAAACCGAAATACGCCCCTCCCCCCCTCCCGGAGGTGGTGGACTTGGTGTGGACTCCTCTCTCGACCTGGCTGAGCAAGAAGGCTGGATGCCAAAATGTTGGCTTTGCTTCAAGATGTTCTGTTTGGTTATCTGTCACAGCTGTTGTTCTCGCGTTTCATAGGGTTTTATAAAGGTGGTGCAGTGTGTTCCCCTAAGGCTCCATGTGCCCATATAGTAGATACTTAAGCCTTAAAGTGCCTATATAGAGACCCCTTTAAGGCCTAAGTATCTACTGTAAAGGTACATGGAGCCTTTGGGTTCAGGAGCCTCGTAAGAGAGGTTGTTTTTGCAAACGAGGAGTCCGGCCGGCAGTTTCTAAGTAACTCGTCGGACTCGTCGTTATAGTGTACTTTGTGCCATTGTGGGGGGCAAGGGGTCGATGTAGTACAAAACCACAAATACCCTCAACAAAACTGAGTTTCTGGTGCTCAGCAGACCGGGCCCAGACATCACAACAAGCCGCGGTTGATTGCTAATACTGTTGATGGACAAAATTCTGCATGACCCAAATATAGTATAATACCATAAATCCCATAGTTTAGGTATATAAGGTCATGCAGGATTTTGGCCATCAACCGTAGGGTTTAGGTTTTAGGGTTTAGGGTTTCATGGCTGTCCTCGATGAGGATTCGCTTCATCATAATGCAACCCCCCCCTCCCTTCGTAAAGGTTCTTCGAATTTTAAGGCTCTTAGAGCAAAGCCGCTGTCTAAAGTTGGGCTCTACATCACTGGCTTCCCAGGAGCACGGACTTTCTGCCGCCGTTGACCCTAAATTGATGACCAAATCCCGAAGGGTCCATGTACCCAAATAAAATGCGCTTTGGCCCCAAAGTACCTAAATATGGGGACTACTTCAAGGCCACAATATATATTATTTGGGTACAGGGACCCTTAGGGATTTATTGTGTCCTCATAATCCACTGAACCTTGAAGCCGCTAAAGCCCCCAAAAGGCCCAAACACTGAACCCGCAAACCCAAAAAATCTAAATCCCAATAAAAAAAGCTTAAACCCTCAACTTTTTTTGCAGAAGCCTTATCGGTTAGGGTTTAGGGTTTATAGGGTTTAGGATCCCATATAGATCGAACTTGCTGATTTTGTACAACCCCTTTTGCTTTTCAATCCTCAAGCCAATAACCCTGAAGCCTTAAAGCCTAAAGCACTGCAATCCCCCCAAACCTTAAAGCCATAGATCTCTTTGAGTTCCACCCTTGCTCGAGATGCCTCCGACCCAAAGCCCCCAAACGCCTGTGTTGCAACAGGAAAATCACCGTACCGAGATGGATCTAAAGGCGGCAATGGATGCCTTGGCTGCATTTGGAAAGCCTGTCGTCTCTTCGGGGGCTGTTACATGTTCTTGTAAAGGGAATTATGACGGGTCCTACAAGGGGTCGATAAGTGTTCTATCTATAGGGTTCCGGCTAGGTTTGGTTCTTGTTTAGTATTTAGGGCATTGCGGCTTTAGGATGTAACAGGATGTTGCAGGGGTTTAGGGCTTTGGTGGTTTAGGGTTTTGAGGTTCAGGTTTTCGGGGTGTCTTTCTCAATGCAGGGATGTAGCGATCTCATAGGGGCTGTGTCCGGGGACTCAAAGCAAGGCAGAGTTAGGTCCTGCAGTAAGTGGTTTAGGGCTTTGGGTTTAGGTTTGTCCGTATCTAGTGGGTGCGGATAGATTGGAGGTACTTTTTGAACCTGATTACAACTTATACCA